CATCAGCTTTAGAAATTTATGAAACTATTATAAAATGGAAGGATGATATCAAAATTTTATCTGATTTTATAAACTTTGATAAGGAAATGATAATAGAAAATAATTACTCTAACCTTAATAATAATAATAATTCTATCTTTAATAGTAAGCTTATTAGTAGTATCAATCAGCAGTTTCGAAAATGTGTTATATCAGATAATAATATCAATGTTGAGAATATAAAAATGGACATTGATACCACTGAAAATATAAAAACGGATATTGATACTACTGAAAATATAAAAATTGATCTTGATTCTAAAAAGAGAAAATTGGATATTGATTTTGAAAATATAAAAATTGATATTGATTCTAAGAAGAATAAAATGGATTTTATAGTGGTGATAGAAAAGAATAAGTGCAAGAAATATATTAACTATTTTACTATACAAACAGTTTATGTATTTATTGTATCGCATATTATTATGAATCAAATTTAGAATAAATCATGACGCATTACAACATTGAAATCACAGTTTTTGATTTAAGAAATTATCTATTCCAACCTTATACGTATTTGATTGTGTAACTTGTTTATTCCATATAAAAGGGCTGCAGGTTAAATTTTATAAATATAAATTATTTGAGCGACAATCTGGTTTGATAATACAGTACATATGTTTTTAAAAATCCCGTGCTTGAAATATTAACTTATTTTATTTATTCTTGTTAATTTTATGTAACGCCAAAATATTTGCAACGTATGTACGTACGTGTATATTTAATCTAGAAGAATATATGATAATTGACTTCTTTTTGTGAGCTTTCAATAACGTTAAGAGACATTCATAGATATCATTACGTCGAAGATGGTTAAGCTGAATATAAAAATACAACAAACTTACGTGGCTTTGGGGAATCTGGAGTAGATGTCTAAAGTAGCACTTGGCTGAAATTAAACATGAAATTAGATCTCCATGCATGATTATAAATTACTGGTTAGTGAATTTTTACGTAGGCAAATTGCATCGTTATTTATCAGCTATTGTCATTCGTACGTACTGTACGTACTGTACATATATGTGTTGCAACATGTAAATACAGTACTAATTTCTATATTTAAAAAAAATTAATGTAAAGGTTCTACGGACGCAATAAATTAATATGTATACTTTTTGATATTTGATAGTTTTTTATCAGGCAGTTAAATTAATAATTACTGATCTTCAAAGGCCACAATGAAAGAATCATAGTAAAAGAATTCAATACATAATCAATGATTAATTCTTGTAATTGTAGGCCATTATCCAAAAATCAAGTTTTGTATTTTAATGCCATGATAAAAGACTCAATGCGTCATTTCAGCTTAAAAGGAAATAATATGAGCTAGTAAATTATTA